AGGAAAAATTGAAATCGCATCATATGACCCCTTTAAAAAACATTAACAAATCTTACAGACCCCAAAACTCTGATTTGAGTCAGACTAAAACTTTTATATGAAATTTCAAAACAGAAAAAATACGGTTTCAGTCAAACTGAAATTGAACAATATTTGGTTTTGTTTGATGGGCTAAACAGCAAGTAAATGGATATTCAAGATATTCACCAGTGATATTTACCATATTCACCAGTGCAACTGTATATTTGGCTTGTTTTTAACTCTGTGTCTGTGAAACTACAGTATGAGTACTTTTGGACAGACTAAACCATTCATAGAGACTTCTCTGGCATTATTTGAAATGTAATGTTTAGTCTGGTATGATCAATTTCAGATTCACCCGCCTCTAAAGAAGCACATAAGAGCAGGTTTCTTCCTGTCTAAGGGGGTTGTTCCTGGCCAGAATAAGCTGTAAAGTGGACCAGTCAAAATACTGCCTCAGCAAGACTCACTTAATGCTTAAATGAACAAGAGGCAGCATTACGGAGTATGCATTCAAAGTAGTATAGACATTAGTATGCAATTTGCAGATTTCTCTAAAAATGGCAGTGTGTAGACAAGAACGATATGTAATAGCTGTTTTACAAGACATAACTGGGGTAAACAAAAGATGCTATGATATCTGGTGCATAATTCATGTACAAGATGTCATTTACACAAGTAGGACGTTTTCCTGAATCAACATTCTTTACAGGAACGAGTCCAATCAACCCAGTCTTCCCCTGCTAATTTTAGGCATTCGTTTAGCATTAGGGAAAGAGTGAGGTCTATAATCGACTGAAAGGAATGTTGTTCCAAGGACAAAGGAAGTCCGTCCAGGAACATGACACACTCATCGTAAGTAGAACAAATATTTAAGTGTTTGAGTTATGATAAAGCCAGCAACCACAGATTAAACATTACAGTATGTTAACATGCTATACATTTCCTTAGATTGTTTGCAGTTTTGTGACAATTAATAACTGATCATTGATAACTTGCTTTATAATGAACTCATGCCAAGTTTATCCCGTCAAAAAACCTGTGGCAGTTCACCAAAAAAAAGAAAATTCTCAAATTATTTTCTCACCTCTAACATTTCAATAAAAATATCTTCATTTATGCTTCTTAGATGAATGAGTCACATGGTTGTGGACCAACATGAGGTTGAGTAAATGAAAGAATTTTCTATTTTTGGGTGACCTATCCCTTTAAGCTAATATTTTTTTGCCATTTCTAAGAACTGATTTTAATAGCTATCTTACCAAAAAATAAAAAAATAAAATTGCCCACACCTGCTTGGTTTCTTCCCCAATCCCACATGGTTTATCAGAATGTCGTAGCTGCAATGTTCCATGTAATGAACGTGAATGGGGACCTAGAACCATTAAGCACCCAAAAGAACAATTAAAAAAAAAAATCACCATAAAGCTTAATAAGTGTAATCCATACGAATCTTACACTACATTCCAGGTTTTTAAAAATCATATAACAGCATAGTGCAAGAAATTAAAATTTCAATTCTGACGGATAATCTTGCTTGACAGCCATGGTCACTTATTCACTTTCAATATATGGAAAAGAGCAGCAGGACATTCTTCTAAACATCTTCATTTATGTCCCACAGAAAAAAAGTTGGTTAAAAGTCACATACTGTAGGTGGGGAAAGTCATACAGGCAAAGAAAATGAAACTTTGAACACTAACGTGTGCAAAATGAACAAGTCCTGTTATCCCCAATCCGCTGTAACAGTTTATTTCTCTTCCTCATTTCCACTTCCAAATTCTCATCCATCGCTTGTTACTTCCCTCATCTCTCTCCTCCCTATAATCTCTCCTGACTCCAGTCTTTCGCCGTGTACCGTTAGCTTTACTGATTGTGTGCTGGTCGTCAATAAGAACACGTCCCATGGTGAACATCTCAGGCTTGGGCTCTGAAAGCTAAACCACCGGAGTAGGTGCAGCACGGCTTCACTTAAATAGGATATGACAATCATTCTGCACTCTGTAGTAGATGCCCGTTTTCCCCTAGCAGCTGCAAATTGGCCAAATCGGCACCTCGGCAAACTACCGTCAGCTCAGGGCGTCCCGAGAGAGCATCGGGCTATTTCACCACGAAAAACGAACGCGAGGGAGGAAAGGATGGAGGAGAGGAAAAGAACAGAAGGAATGTGTTGTCTGATTTGTCAACCCTGACAACACATTTGCTTCCCCCCTTTGTAAACAACTAGCCACCTACAAAGCCTAGAGAGGTTTAAGGGGGAAACAGGAAATGAAAACGAGGCAGACGGCTCAACCAAGGACACACACAGATACACTCGTCTCACTACACTGACATTTTGGGAGAGTTTTGGGTGCCTTGATGATGCGATCGTGTTGACATGCACGTTGCTAGCCAGATAGCGAGAAATGACTCACAGCGGGGTGATGATGGGGCGGTCGCCACACCGTCTGAGTGGATTTATCATGATGAGTTCTTCTCTCACCTTTGACCCCTGACTTCTGCTGATGACACTGACATCTCACCGGCTGAAAGAAAAAGAATCAAAGCAATAATAATTTGATTTGTACACGTTCTAAAGAAATAAAAAGTTTGAATATCTCAATCATTCAAAACTTGCACCCAAAAATGCTGGTTTGCAGGGCATTGCTAGTAGAGAGAATCTGACCATTATTGTTTTTAATGACTATACAGAATAACTACACAGAATTTTGATGTTAGCTAATTTTTAAAGTGTTCAGATATGACAATATTAAGAACTGAGTCTAATTAGTTTAATTTTTGACATGACATAACTACAAAAAACTACAATAAACACAATGCATTATGAATTATGAATATTAATACAATTAATAATAATAATTATTATACGTTTAATAAATTATTCATCATAGATTCCTATTTTTGTCTTATCTAAAGTAGTTTTGCAAAGTAGTTTTGCATCCGAAATTTTCTTAGAACCAATAACCATTTTTCCTTTTTTTATTTTTGACACGCGACATAAAATCATTAAACTATTGTAAAAACAATGCCTTATGAATTATTATTAATAATAATAAATTGTTTAATATATTATTCATAATTATTATTTCTATATTTCTATATTTTTTATATTTATGCACAGTAGTTTTGCAATCTACATTTTCTTAGAATAAATTTAGCTGAATACATTCATAATAAATTATTTATATGCAAAGTAGTTTTGCAATCTAAATTTTCTTAGAACCGATAAACATTTTTAAAACCATTTAATTGAAAAATTAAAATTAAACTCTGAAATCAGGTTGCTAGTAACAGCACCTCTCCTTAACAAGCCACACAATTTGAGATATCATTCATGGCAGTAGTGAAGTGAGGGAGAGTTTAAATTCCTTAACCAATGTATAAATAATACATATGCTTGCCTTGAGCAACACTAATAGCATACTCTTGTTCTAATGTAAAGAAATCTCAATTGCCTTCATCTTTGCTTTGCAATCAGCATAATGCAAAAGAGGTGAGCAAGTTTACTAGCGCTAATGATATAATTGCTCACTGAAGGTGACAGTAATTGGGATTAAAGGTTAAAATGCACGTGTTGACTCGCTGTTTTTATGGCTTGGAACGGTGAAGTTAATGAACAATATGAGATGTGGGTTTGTTCTGAGAACATCTCGTCCTGATTTCATCTTACTCATGCAGACATGGAGTTAGCATGACTTTAGCATCTTCCAGCAGACACTGCAGGCTCTGATTAGCCACTCATGTAGTGTTGTCAAAAGACCCGGTATTTCGGTACCAAGTCGGTACTAAAAAAATGAAAACGTTACGGTACCAGGTTTTTTTAAGTACCGGTGGTACCGAGTACCCGGTCAACCCGGTTCTTGATGCGCTATCCGAAAGCTATCCTCTTCTAGTGTTGCCAAGTCCGCGGTTTTCCTGCGGAATTGGGCTGCTTTAACACTGTTGCCGCGGGTTGTTTTTCATGTCCGCGGGTTGAAAAACGACCCCATTAACGTGATATTTAGCCCCTGGAATGCGAATTTTACCAGGGGAACCCCGCCAAAACACGCGTATTTTATCCTCGGAACGCGATCTTTAACAGGGACCCCCTCGAAACGCGATTGGGCGGGTTTTGTTGTGAAAACCTGGCAACAATACTGAAATTTTGGTACCGTGACAACACTACACTCATGTATTATGTATCTTCAATCAATACAAAATGGTCAAAATGAGTGCAAGTGTGAATGTGTCAGGAATGGCGATGGCTCACAGATTGTTGATGCTGTTGATGAGTGAGCCGTGTGATGATTTTTTCTTTATTTTTCAGCTCTTCCCTGAGATGTGCCACCTCCTTCATCAGTTCCTCCATCTGACACACAAATACAAAACAAATAATAAAATCAAACACAAAAATATTAAATTGTCATACACAAACAATTTTTAGGCCAAAATGGAAGACTAATTCACCATGGGTTCCCTCTGGAATTCCTAATGGCTTTTTAGAATAGCAGTTTGCAATTTAGGAGTATAATAAGGTCTGTGGTAAACATTACTTGAGATATATTAATGTTTCGTTCTACTTCATAAATTACACAGCTCAGATGTGAATTCTGGAACTGTTGTGTGCTTTCAAAACACAAGCTGCTACATTAGGATTCTCATGCATTTATAGTTTTAGCCTTTATGTAGCAACTTGTGCATTTTAACAGCTTCAAAGTTCATGTTTTAAGATATGAATGGGTTTAATTTATGATGTAGAAAAAGGGAGGGCTTCCTAAGGGAGCCCATGGCTTGAACATGCTAATGTTCTTAGTGTGCTAATGTTTTAGGACAACAAGCTGAACAGCTCTATTCAGGTGTGTGTTTATGAGACGTTACAGACCTGCTGGTCTCTGCTGTCATCTTCGCTGGAATCCAAACTCTCTGGAGTAATCTCACCATCATCCATCTACATAAAATGACAATTTATTGTTGAAACACTCATGTTTACAGCTTCTCAGGTTCTTTTATTCTTTCTCTCTTTTTTTTGCCCCTACACACATGCTAAAAGCTGCTCAGAGGGTAACAGCTGGGTTTCCATATGAAAGTGCAAACATGACTCTTCCAGCTGTGTGTGTGTGTGGTACCTGCAGCAGACTCTTGAGTTTGAGCAGCTGTGATTTGACAGACGAGCAGTCTTCCGCCATGTGCTTGAGATCGAGTTCATGCTGAATTGCGGGATGGAGGGGCCGATGGCCTGTACGACAGGGATCGTAATGAAACCCGCCCAGTCTAAAAGACCGATTGAGACAGAGTTCAGATATAGTTTATAGAAAAAATACAAGAAAAAGAAACAAAAATCAGAATTAAAGGGGTTGTATCATGACTTTCTTGATAACTTTCAAAAGTCTAAACTTTCACTCCAGTTCAAAAAGACTGCAAAAACAGCTTCTACCAAACTTCATGATGTCGACCAAAATACACTGACTACTTGACCGTACACATCAACACTGGCTATTCAAAGTTCAGGAGCTTGGCTTTATTTCTAAATCACCAGAAGATATTATTCCTGTATACATCTGGCAATTAAAGTATCCTTAATTAAGGTGTTAACAGTGTCTCTCATAACATCATTCTGACTTCCGTTTCATCACTTTGACTAACAGTTTGTGTGGCTGTATGTCCCAATCCACACTAACATTCAAAAGTTTGGGGTATTCACATATTTTTTAAATTAAATTAATACTCTGATTCAGCAAGGATGCTCTAGCAGCAACATTACACACTAACTAAAGCTTAAAAAGTGAAATCATAATCAACCACCCCTTTAAATATTTATAATATTTTATAATAGCACTTTTTTACTTTCAAATAAATGCAGCCTTAAGTGAGCATAAGAGACTTCTTTCAAAAGTATTTTAAAAATATTACTGACCCCAAACCATTACAACTAAATTACATTAACTATTTGGTGGAAAAAAAACTATATTATGTATGTGCCTCAGAGTGAAAGAAATATTAAAAGAGATTTAATATAAACCCTGTATTATAAAATGTACAGTTCTAGTCCTGGATGCTAAATATAATGTGCAACTCAGACTAAAATAAAGTTTATAGTAAATATAATTAATTTTTTAATTATAAAAATATAAAACCTAACAGTCACTTATGTGAAACATTTGCTCTTGTAACACTCACTTTTCAGAATCCAATCAAATCCTGTTCTACATTTTTAGTATCATGTTTAATTAGGAAATACGTATTCCAAGGCATTCACCTGTTGTCATTATGAGCATGATCTGTTCCACTCCATCTCTGCTGTCTTCTCCTCCACTGAGCCGGCCGGCCCCCCCTGTCAGAGCGCTCAAAGTGGGCCATCCCATCTGCATGCACAGAGGGGTCAACAGCAGTCAATGACAAATAAACAAACGCATTGAACAAGCGCTCAAAACCCAATTCACTTTAAACCACATAATTCAGTTAGTCTCCAAGAAACGCTCTGAAACAGACACACACTTTTTGGAAAAAGAAGGTCATCTTTCTCTGGGAGGTTGTGCAGTGTCCTTCCAAACGCAGAGCTCTTAGAGTTTCGATACAAAGCACTCACACCGCCTGAGGCGAGATATCAGGGCAAACTTACACTAACACACTCTGAGGCATACAAAATCTCTCTATCTCACACACACACACACACACACACACACAAGCGCTCTCTCAATCTTTCTATACACTTCTAACACAAAGTAAGACAGCAAGTAGAACAGACAGAAAACTAAGCCCCAAAACAGACCTGCTACATTCCTCTTGTCCTTGCTGTCCGGTTCACTGCCAGAGCTTCAAAAACAGACTCGAAAAACAGTCCAAAACTCACCCACACGAATACAAATGACCTTACAACAAAAAGCAGAGATGGTCTGTTTTGACTGACACATCCAAAAGAAAAGGTTGAAATACAGCTGGACAAAAACTCCCCAAAGTTACAAATTCCAAAGTTGTGTGGTGTAGAACTCCAAAAAAAAGTATGTAGAAAACTTTAAAAAGTTGTGTCAAACTTCCTACGACTTTCTCACTGGCCACCCGAGCATCTGCAAATCCAATAACTTTTCCGCCCTGTTGGAACGTGTGTGTGTGTGTGTGTGTGTGTGTGTATGAGCTTGTGAGTTCTGGGAACTCCCTGGGAGATTTGACCAGAACCAGACGCATACAGACACACACAGCTGTAAATCCCTGAGCCGTGGGGCCATCAGGAGAGAAGGGGAGCTGATGTTGGTGCTCTCAGCCGAAGTCGCCACAGCCCTCGGGCAGGGTCTCCCCACTGGTCACGGGAACTAGCGTCAAAACAGCAGGCCTTCCTGCTTGCCAAGTGGACGGATCGACCATGGAAGGAATGAAGGAGGGAAGGAGACAGACCGACGGGGAGGGGGCTCTTAAGTAATCTATTCCCTCCTCTAACTCTTTCTGGCTCTGCAACCCCTCTCACATGACTGCAGGGCATGACGCCCGGGGCTATAAATACAACACACACATACCACACACATACACAGCAGTGTAAAACTGACTGATTCCTGCTGATGGCACAGACCAAAACACTGAACGTAAACATGACGCGAAATTCAAGCAAACACAAACGCTCAAAAGAAACATTTTTTTAACATGAGACAAACAGCTGAAAGAACGGTCCCAAACAGGAATCACTCTTGTACTCATTCATTTAAATGTCATTTGTAAAGTGTATGTACGAAGTCTTTGTTTGCCATCTCTAATGTGGAATTTGTCTACATACACAAGACTCTGGAATCTGCAGAACCCGTAACCACCCTGTGACCTCATTCGCACACTCTAAAAATCACACTCTGAGAGTGAAGAAAACAGGAAGCCACGCTAGGACATTCCCTTCCAGAACTAAGAGAGTCCCATGGATGATTCAGTTGACATTCAGTATTCCTGGCAGGGGCTGTCTTCAATAGCAAACTCATTCATGATAGGCTAGTAACACAGGCACTATTGTTTGTTTTTACTGTTATACACTTGCATTTGTTCAACAGCATGTGCCATTACAGGACAGTAAGTACAATATAACAATATACACTTCTGTTCGAATGTTTATTAAAAGTAAAAGTAAGATTGTATATGTTTTTGAAAGAAGTTCTCTTATGTTCACCAAGGCTGCATTTATTTGATTAAAAATACAGTAAAAACAGCAATATTGTGAAATATTACATTTTTAACAGGTTTCTATTTTCATTTAATTGAAATATCAAAACGTAAGGTATTCCTCCGATGGAAAAGCTGAATTTTCAGCAACACTCACGATCCTTCAGAAATAATTCAAATATGCTGGTTCCGAAAAAAAAAATCTTATTATTATCAATGTTAAAAATAGCTGTGTGTGTGGAAACCATGACATTTTTGTGTGACTCTTTGATTAATAGAGAGAGAACATGAAAAGAACAGGATTTATGCAAAACAAAATCTTTTGTAATATTACTATTGTCTTTAGTGTCACTTTTGATCAATTTAATGTTTACTTGCAGAATAAAAGTATTCATTTTTTTAAAAGAAAAAAAACTGAACGATAGTGTATAAGGTTACATTAATAACTAATTTAATCTTGTTTGACTGTATTTGACAAAGTCAAGCAGTGTTCTTCAGCATAACTTACAAAACAGTCTAAAACTATTTTTGACATTTTTCTAATTCTTGATAAATATTATATATGCATTTTATGACCTCAAATTAATTGAAAGACTAAATTAAACATTTATACAGTTAAAAATTCATGTCACATTACAGCACTAATGAATGAACTGCACAGAAGTCAAAGGGTGACTAAAAATGAAGAAAAACGTAAAATAGTTGTACGTTCATATGAAATAGTTATTTTGAGCTACTATTTTAGATTATTTTACTGTAAGGTTTTGCTGGGGGGAAAAGTAAACATATTTACTAAGCTTTAACTCATAATTCATCCATCAAAAACTAAAGCTCCAAACAACAGCCAGCAGTCATGTAATAAATAATCTAGAAAAAGCACTTCTCTCACTGTCTTGAAAAATAATACATAACATAAAATAACACAAGCTGTTGGAAAATAAGTCCTGGGTTAGCAAGCCATGTCTCTACAACTTTACATTCCACAAAACATGAATTCAAATACAAAATGACATACTGAATCCACCTGAATTATATACTGATACACTGAATTCAATGTCTTCTTCATCACATTTAATTCATTAAAATCACACTGAGCTGCGGGAAACTCTGACATGGCCATCTGTACAAAAGTCATTCACATTCAAAATAGTGATTATCACTCGGACTTGGCAGTGACCAATCAACATAATGATGCAATCTGATCAGCTATTATCATTTTTCCAAACGGAAGATGAATTAATAAATCAAAGATAAACACAAGGATGATTATATTACAAATTCAATTAAAGTGAACTATTGTGGTTATAAAGGTAAATAGTTGATGGTAAATTCCTGTATTGGTGTTCAAAACAATAAGAAAGACATTCATTTATTTAGTCATTTATTAACCAGAACTACAAGTTTTGAGAGAACAGTGATGCAGAGATGATTCTATTAAAGGGGTCATATGATGTTGCTAAAATCAACATTATTTGGTGTATTTGGTGTAATGAAACGTGTTTATGCGTTTTAAGGTTAAAAAACACATTATTTTCCACATACTGTACATTATTGTTTCTCCTCTATGCCCCGCCTTTCTGAAACGCCTCGATTTTTACAAAGCTCATCATTCTGAAAAGTGAGGTGTGCTCTGATTGGCCAGCTATCCAGTGCGTTGTGATTGGCCGAATACCTCAAGTGTGTGACTGAAATGTTACGCCCCTACCATACTATGATGCCGTGTCCCGGCCGGAGCGATGAGACAAAAACATTAAAACCCATTATAAACGAGGCATTTGTTGCATCCAGTGGGGACATAATTATGGATTATAATGACTTATACTGTCTTTTTACGCGGTTGTGTTGCATCGCGCCGCATAAACATAAAACCATGTCTGCATTTGTGATCGGAGAAATGACAAACAACAAGCGCTACTCTACACTGCTCAAAACTCACACTTACAGTGCAACGTACTTACAGTCTGTGAGTCAGAACAGCCGGCATTGTAGTCTACTCTCCCAGGAAACAGTCCTCCATAAAATGTGCTGCACATATCTGAATATTTGGGTTGAACTGTTCTGGAACAGTGTTGTAAATACAACTTAACCACTGATTTCTAGTCGTGTCCTCTTTTGGAAGGCCAAACAAAGTAGTTTCGCTTTTTACAACGAACCACACATCGTCTTCACAACATGGCGGCAGCGGTGGCAGCAACAATAAAGTTACACCTTCTTTCTTTGCGTGAACATTTGGGCGGTGTTATGCAAATCTTCCCACACAGTGACGTAGACATGTGGGGGCGTGTTTAAATGAGGCGTTTTAAGAGGGCGTGGACCAGTCTTAACTTTTATAAAGTATATTTCTTTAGGTTTGAGACTTTAGTCTTTGCAACTTTAGGGATCTTATCTATTCACGAACAGCTTGTAACACTCCAAAGAGAAAGGAAAACTTGAAATCGCATCATATGACCCCTTTAAACTTTCCATATTTGTAAGCACTTTAGATGTCAAATAAGAAGGCAGTTTTGGCTTAGTGAATGATTGCTGGTTATACTACTCAATTACACTGTATGTGTGTGTGTGTGTGTGTGTGTACTAACCATGGAGTAAGGCGCCGTCCTCTGGCAGATCCACATCAAGCATGAGGTCATCATCTTCCAGATCACATGAGCCAGTGTTATCCAAGTTGTTCAGAATGTCCTGTGCATGAGAAACAACCAATGAGAGAGAGACCGTGTGTGAAATAGAGATGGAAAACTGCATTACGTTTACCAAAAAAGGCCTTTGTGGAAATTCACTCACACTGTTTACGTAAGGACGATCACATAAAAGAAAGGGAATACATAGATAGACCCACTAGATGCTACATGAAAACAAACAAATCGTTTTTTGCTTCACATGAAGAGCATATAAAAACGCCAACTTTTCAGGCCATCGGATTATTTGAAAACGCAAAAGCACGCCAAGGTGAAAATCAATATGCCTCAACAAAACCTCAATTTGTCCTCAGACAGAAAATGAAAGAGGACATTTCAAGCTGTGTGGCAGATGCACAAGGGCAGTTATCAGCTATTGGAGCGCTTTTTAATGCATTTTAAAGCGATTCTGAACATCAAGCCTGACACGGAGAGTTCAAAAGAAAATAAGCTCTTTGAAAAAAGATGTTCTCCACATTTCTATGTGCTAAAATATTGGTAAGAAATACCATAAAACAAGGCCTCACGGCGTAGCCTTGATTTGCACCAAGCAAAGAAATTACTCTGATGTGACTCATCTTAGAGTCTTTCTCAAGAACCGCTCTGAATTGATTTTGAGGTTGGGAGTAAAATTTGAATGCAGGAGTGAGTCTTAAAGACCTGGAACCAATTGAAAGGATATTTAGCTCATTTATTTCATGATTCATCATTTCCAAAACATACAAAAACTACTGCATATTACTATCATTTATCTACAGTCATTTAACCATTTGTTTGCATGGAGAACAAAATTGCTTCTTGGTGATAAATTTACATAAATTGGACTTCTGGAAGCAGGTCTTGAAAACAATTGTTTTTTAATTAGTCACTTGACATTTAACAAATGCTTAACATTGCACTAATTGCAGGGACATTTACTATAAATCAATGTGGGGTTAAGTGACTTGCTGGTAATAATTCTTGGTACCCCTTCAGCTAAACCCTACTGTGGTTCAAACCTGTGCCCTTTGTGTTGCCAGCCGAGTGATTTAACCCGTTGTGTTGTTTTTAAATACAGCTTTTTAAATAGTGATGAGAAATTCTGAAGAATGATGTGACACTAAAGATTGGAATAATGCCTGCTGAAGATTTAGCATTACTGATTTTACTGTATTTTTAATCAAACAAATGCAGCCTTAGTGAGTATAAGAGACTTCTTTCAAAAGCTTATTATTTCATATTACATTGAAATTATTATTAAAGAAATAGTTTACTCCTAAATGAAAATTCTGTTGCCATGTTGTTCCCTTACGACTTTCTTCAGTGGAACGCAAACACGTTAAAAGGTTAAGACTAGTCTTAAATGTTAGTCAGCTAATTTTTTTTCTTTAAGACCAGTCATAATTTTTTAAACTTAAATACATAAAATGTAGATTAGTCTAAGTTGAATCCAAAAAATAAGACCGATTACACCTTGGCTAACTGCTAGTTGGTCAGACTAGTTCTCAAGACACTGTCTTAACATAGAGGCTAAGTTTATGCAACTGGGCCCTGATGTCAAACAATAGGTTTATGCAACAAACAGATTGAAATTTAAGTCATTATTTACTGACAATAGTCTGATTTGTAAAGGAATCATTCAGACTAGTTTCAGGAACATTCTTTTTAATCCCATCAGCAGATTCATTAAAAAGATTTTACACTGGAATGATTCATTCAAAAATCAGACATTGCTACTTATGTCATTAAACTGTTTAAAGACAGCTAAGGCAGAGTCATGACTTTCAAAGTTTAATGACTTTATAATGACTACTTCTGCCTTTTTATCCCACAAAATGGCTGGAAGACATTTAAATGTAGTGCATGAATCTTATATACCACACTTTTTGTCATTCTGCTGCTTAAGAGTCCTGGTCATCATTCATTTTCATTATTTTGAAAATAATAGCCAGGATATTCCTTAAGAAAAATCTTCTTTTGTGTTCCACAGAAAAAAGAAATGATGTGTGGAGTAAATGATGACAGAATTTTCATTTCTTGCTGAACTATCGCTTCAAGCTATGTTAAATACATTGGCTTTTCTAAATGGGGGACTTTCTTGCAAAAATAACAGTACATTATGAAACTTCCTGCATAATTTCCCATATTTCATATACAGCAGGCAGCTGGGGAAAGAACCACAGTACAAATATGCTCTCAGCATACTTTAGAAAACATTATCAATCATGCAACTGCGCTACATTCTCAGAACAAAAATATCTCTTCAAGTCATCTAAGCTGACAAAGATGAGCTTCAACCCCATCTATCATATAAATATGTACTACTTAAAGACAGGCCCCTTTCCTGGACATTAATACATACACACACACAACGTACTGTCTTACAAGTGTACACGAAATGTGTATTCAAAGCAGCCAGAGTTCATACACTTCACCTACACACACACGTAGTCTCTCGGGTCCCTCTCTCTCTGACTCTCTCCATGTATAAAGGGGCTTAGTCATGGCAGGTTGCTTCAGAGGAAATGACATTTCACTGCGCCGGGTGGCAGCTTAGACACGCAGCCCAAGCCCCATCAACACTCTCCTCCTGCGCTGAAAGAGCCGGAATAACGCAGCCCATTTCACATAGGCCTGCGCGAATCAGCCGGGAAGATCGGATTAACGGTCTCTTTAGAGCCGGACCGATACAGACAGAACCTCAGATAACATTTAAGAAAGGTCCTATCGGACAAGCACAGAATCCTGATCACATTTCACACGATCTGAGCACTGCGCTCGAGAGTGAAACATCATATTTGGCGGGATCAAAAGGAATGTGTTTGAATTCCTGAATCATTCATATTACATACAGGACACAATTACTCAGACACCTACAGATATACTTTGAACCGAGCCAAACTTTCAATGGTAATTTAAAAAGAGGTCAATGTGTATGTAATTCTAAACAAATATATATATACAGGTGCATCTCAATAAATTAGAATGTCGTGGAAAAGTTCATTTCAGTATTATTAATATTAAGAAATTAATACTAATTCATCAAGAAAGATTTGTATTCATTTATTTTCATTAAGTATATTTATTTTGTAGGCAGTGTGTGTGTTTTTAAGAATGAAGAAACAAACAACATGTTTATGGATCAAAATACTTTGTAAAAATTTATATTTACTGCATTATAAAATATAATCAGTTCAAATAGTTAGAAATGTCATGAAACTTTGATTCATGTATTTTTACAAGAATATTCATATTAGAATGTTGAATGAATTAGAGATGTTTTTAATGTGTACTTTTTATTGTAAATAATAAACTGTTATGCATGTTTCATAATTGAATATTAAATACAGTTTAGATCTCTTTCCCCAGCAAACACTGGCTTCAAATTTTTAGTATCATGCATTCAGAACACCACCATCACCTCAGAATGGGAAAAATGTGAAAAAAGTCCACGCTTCACTGCCTGAGACTAAACAGCTTTTCATCTTTCAGTTTGTGTTCATGTCACCCTGAATATGTGCATTAGATTCGATATCACACAGAACTTTGCCAAGCACTCACACACAAAACACAGGCTCTGAGACAGTGCATGAGACAGCATGGCTGTGTGCAAGAAAAGGCTCTCAAAAGCCATTAGGAATCGCAGGTCTCAAGGAGATTAAGCAAAATAAGAAAGAGTCAATAAACCAGTTAGCCTAATAAATTAAGAGCTGATTAGAGATGTTAAATATTTATTAAAATTATACAAATCCTGTTTACAGTATTAGTAAGGTTAGCAAATGGTACAGGCTTAAACAATGCTCTATAAATCTCAGCTAATTAATGCTGAAACAGCAGCAGATAAAAGCATGTCTCAGACTGTGTTAAAAACAAAGGCTTCTGCACCTAGATCATTTAGCAGCTAATGAATTGGCCTTTAATTGCCTCCTGCAAGACAGACTGTATTTAGAACAAACAAACAACTCTTAAAAGAGCCTAAAACGGGATGTGCTTTGTAGAAGTCAACATTGGGATAAAACACACAAAACACACAAGTATACAATGTAAGGAATAAACAATATCTTGTGTCTCTTGAATCCATACTGCCCCCTTGTGGCCCTAAGTACAAAAATAATTTTAATAGCAATGCATTTTACAAAGAAAAAAATATTTTCTGACAAAAAAAAAAAGCAAAGCATAAAAAAATTTCAGCATGTCTCACCCTAGTTCATGATTTTGTCAACTGCACCCAACATTTAAAATCATACTGAAATGGATTTCATTGCACTAATAACTTTTCCCCATTTAATAAAAAAAGTTAGTAATATTAAAACAGATTAATGTTATAAAAATGTTTTAATATTAATATTACAAAGTGTTATATTTAGCAGTGTATCACAAACCTGTTACTGCACGATTACCACAATACAATGAAGGTAACATTCCTTAAAATAGTGAAGCCAAAAAAATATATTTTGACACTTTCTACATGACGGTTAAATGAAGGTAATTATTATTCAATTAAATTCATTCAGGGTTTTTTTGTTTTTTTTGACAAAATGTTCACTGCATTCATCTTTCAACCATGTTACCATAGTTAAGTAAAAAAAACTCATACTGTTCATTACTTAACAGAACAATTTAACAATAAGTTAATATCAATATTACCAACTAACATTTGGTCCCACACTAACTAGCCTATAATATGTGACAGTTTAATTTAGGCAAAATCTACAACCCTGTTACTCAGTTTGACATGTTTATTGTTTATTGTTTATTTATATGTATTTATTATATTTATATTTTAATAGGAATATATATATATATATATATATATATATATATATATATATA